CACTCCAAAGACATTGTTCTCCCCTCAAATTTAACAGGAATATGACTGGGCAGTGGAGCAGACCCTGCTCCCAGCAGGATTCCAGAGACCTCAGCATCCCTATCCCCATTTCCACAGCACCAATTACATCCTTCTGCCCACCTTTTCCACTAAAATTTTCACTCCAAGGGCAAATCCTTCCTTTCTGAACACAATGAACCAGGTCCAACCTCAGAGGGCGGAACTGAAAATCCACGTTTTGGAGAATCCACCACTGTTTTCATTCCCTCGTGGCAACTCAGGGCTTCTCCCAGTGCCTGCAGCTCCTTGGGAGCACTTCAGCACTGAGGTGCTTCCTCACATCCCTCAGGCATTAAATCCCAAGCTGCTGTTGGAATAATCCTGTTTGGGACCTGGTGTTTACCTAAAGCATCCTCTGCTCCCAAAGTGAAGCAGCAGGAAGCTCATCCAGCACCTCAAGGGCTTTCCCCTTTCCCAAGTTCATTCCAGTTTGGATAACCAACATCACTCACTGCACAGAGCCTGGATCAAACACCAGGAAGGAAAACCAGCAGGAAATGTCAGCAATACTTAAGCCAGATTTAAAGCCTTAAACAATAACATTAAACCCAGAGGCTTAAAGCCTTTCCTCAGAGGAATGAGATGGAGCCAGATAGTTTTTCCTTGCTGGAACAAGCCCACTTGAACCTTCCTCATGTGAATAAACACACAAAACTGTAGGAACACAGAAAGAGAACAGGGGGCGGAGGAGAGGTTTGGATTTTCATCCACATGGGAATCAGAAGGACTGGATGGTGCCCTGGTCTCCAAGGTGTCCCTTACCTCTCGTTGACCTTGATGGAGAGCCTGTTGCAGAGCCTGTGGACATACTGGGCAAAGTGCTCCACCAGGCACATGTCATAGGAAGTCATCTGGATGTTGACATCTCCATATTCAAACTCAGTGCCAGGATTGATCTCCTTCATCTGCAGTCTGTCCTTTTTCTTCTTTGGAGTCTGTTTTCCAAAATAAAATAAAACAGAGAGTTTGAGCGACGCTGGAAATAAAACCCCGCCGTGTTTCCCTTGGGGCTTCTCCTCTGACAGGGGTTTGTCAGCCACATCCCAGCCCATCTGTGCTCCCTCTCCCTGCCTAAAAACTGGGATGGCATTATCCTGACAGCTCTTCTCAGCTCAGTTCTTGGATGGCAGCACCACAGGAAAAATACCCCAGAGAAAACACGTCCGTATTTTTAATTTCTTCCAGAGAAAATTAATTTCTCCCAGAGGTAAAAAAACAAACAAACAAAAAAAAAGAGTAGAAACAGCAGGAGTACAACTCCTTTTTCTTTCAGGTCCTGTCCACAAGGCAGCTGGCTTGGTGGTGTTTCCTCCTTCCACAAAAAGTGGTTGACTTTCCAGGGAATGTCAAAAGGTGACATGAAAACAGGACCTGCTCATAATAATTCAGGTGTGAAATTCAGCAGGAGGAGGAAATTTCTCCCTCCCAAGGGAATTTCCACAGGAATGTGCTGGACAAAATGAAGGCTGTGAGTGGGGGAACTTCATGGAATGGTTTGGGTTGGAAGGCATTTTAAAGCTCATCCAGTGCCATTCCCAACCTTCTGCTATCCAGGGTGCTCCAACCTGGCCTTGGGCACTCCCAGGGATGGGGCAGCCACAGCTTCTCTGGGAATTTCATCCCAGCCCCTCACCACCCTCATAGGGAAGAATTCCTTCCCAATATCCCATGTAAACCCTGTGCTTTGTCCATGTGAATCCATGCCCCTTGTCCTGTCCCTCCAGGAATGTCACACAACACTTTTCCCCAAGAGAAGCAGCAGGAAACGATGCCATTATTCCCTCTGGATGTGATTTATCAGCCATGGAATTCATAAAATAATTCCTTCTGCCTACCTCTGGTGGGAGCAGGTATTTATACCTCCCAATTCCATGAGTAGGACGGGATCTGTAGGATCTGTGGCAACTCAGGAGAGCAGCACCTGGAAATGGAAGCCAAATTCCTGTCCCAACTCACAGCTCGGTGTGGGCAGCCACAAATAAGGAAGGAAGAGATTAAAAATATTCACTTCTCAGGTGAACTCTCAAGGAAACAACAAGAAAGAATAAAAGAGGCTGTGGGTAGTTTGGGAGACCAGGAAAATGTTACAAAAAAAGAAGAAAATGTTAGGAAAGAACATATGGAAGTGGAAGAGCATCAGCTCAGGTTATTTAACCAGCCCAAAATTGGCTAAAAACCCCCCTAAAATTAAAAGGAAACACAAATTCTCCATTTATTTGGATTAACAATAGACTTTACCTGCAGCACACAGATGGTTTTCTCTGGGTGTTGCTGCTCTGGAGGAAACAAGACAATGATTAAAAGTTCTGTAAGAAACAAGATCATCTTTAAAAGCTGTGATTTCCCCCACCCATGGAAAAATATGTGGCAAATCTCCTTTGGCCATTTTTGGGGTGTTTTTAATGCCTGTTATTGTGCTTTACTCCGTGGTTTCAGGCACTCACCTGCTAAGGGCAAACAGCTGCCTGAGCATCGCTCCCTTCTCCCAGCACAGCACCTGGAATGGCCGAAACACAAAGAGAGTGACAGATCCTCAGGGAATTGTCACCAACACCCCCAGACTACAGCAGGGACAGGAGCCAGGGAACGGCTGGAGCTGTGTCAGGGCAGGGTTAGGCTGGATATCAGGGAAAGGTTGTTCCCTCAGAGGGTGATGGGGCACTGAACAGGCTCCCAGGCCCATCCCTTCCCTGTGTGTCCCCTATTCCCGTTCCCATTCCCGATCCCCGTACCTTCGGCACCGCCGCCATCATCCCATCCTCGGTCCGTCGCTCAAACCGTCCCCCCGCTGGGCCCCGGTGCGCCAAGCCCGGGTCCCCCCCGCCCCGCGGCTCCCGCCTCGCGTTCCTCCCACCGACAATTCCAATTTTCGGGCAGCCTCGCGTTCCGCCCGCCGAGGCCTCACAGAGGCGGCAGTTTCTGGACAACCCGCGGTGCTGGCGGGGCCCCGGCGCCCTGCGGGAGGCGGTGGGCAGGGTGCGGGGGTCCAGGCGGCAATGGCGGACACCGCATCCCTCCCTTACCGTACACACCAGGCAGCGCCGCCTGGCGGCAGCAGCTGCACAGCGCGCCCCGCCCTACGTCAATCACCGCGCGTCTCGCCGGCTACGGCCCGCCTTCCGCCCGTTTCTCGCTCGCTGATTGGCCTCTCGCCGCGTCCATCACGGTGCGGCGGCCATGTTGAGTGTGGCGTGGCCACGTGGCGATGCCAAGTATGGTGTCCGACCCCGCCCCTGAGGAGGCCATCTTGAGTGTGGGTCTGGCGGCCATCTTGAGTGTGGCGTCGCGGCGGCCATTTACTTCGTCCTTTATTTTTATTTCTTTATTGATGTCTTTAGAATTACTAAATCCTGAGTGGAGGAAGGTTGGGCTGGGACGGACCTCCTCCCTGATTTCCCAGCGGCGAGAGAGAAGGAGGGCACGGGGGTCTGCCTGGGGAGAGATGGATGCTGTGCCGTCCTTGGAGCCCCCCCAAGCCTGGACAGCCTGGAGTTGGCTCAGGAAAACCCATCCCATGCCAAACTGCCTCCTCCTGCCTCTTCCCCACAAACCATCCTTTCTCCCAGGCTCTTCCCTGCTCCCTTCTCTCCTGCCTAGCCCCGCTTTTCCCCCTCCTTCCATGGCCGATGCTCCAGAGCCCCCATCTCAGATCTGTTCCTCCTGGGTGGATCAGCTGGAATTTTGTGTGAGGACTCATTCCCTCTCCAATTGCTCTTGGCTGGAGCTGTCAGGGCTCCTGGTGGACTTTCTCCCTCCAGTTCATCTGAGTTCATCCACGTGGCAAGTCTCCTAGTGCCTTTGTTTCGTGGAGGGAACGTGGAGGGAGCAGAGGGAACTCACCTCACCTTTGCTCCCTCCTCCACAACACAAGGACACAGATTCCCAGCTCCAAGCTGTGTTTCCCTGGTGCTCCTGGCCCGTGACAGAAGGGTCCACGTGGATGTTGTCCTGCCCTTTGATCCCACCTGGCAAGGTGATCTCCCCAGGCAGGGAGAATGATGCTTGAGGAAGGAGCCAGATCTGGGTTAAGGCCAGCACTCCCATTCCAGAAAACCTGGGCTTCTCCTCCCAGGAACTTTGAATCCCCAGAGGAAATTGAGGAGGGGCTGCTGTGCCTAGAGGGGACTGGCTGGGCCTGTGTTTTTGGGGAAGTAGTGATGAGCACCACCATTTAAGAGCACATCCAAGATGACTCCTTATTCCATGCCCTCAAATGCTGAGTGCCCATGGAATGGGGCTGCACCCCTTAATTCCCTCTGCCCCTCCTGGAAGCAGATCACTCCTCTCTCCACAACAGCATCTTTCTCATCTCTCCTGCTCTTGATTTTCCCTGGATACAAAGATAGTGCTGCTCTTGGCAGCTTGTTCTAGTGGCTGAGCAGCCTCCCTGTTGGGAACATGGCCCTTATTTCCAACTAGAACGTGCCTTTCTTTGCCTTTTGGATGTTTCACAGCCAGGGAGCACAATCCCTGTTGCAGGAGCACAACCTCCCAACCTTTCTGTGACATTTGGAAAGAGAAGCTGAGGTGACTCAATGATTTCCTTTTTTATGTAATGCACTAAAAAACCACCAGGCAGCTTTTCCTACTTTTTTAAAGGCTTCTCAGGCTGCAGAGAGGGATTGTTTCATCCATCCTCTTCTGCCTCACTGCAGGTTTCTCCCTGCCACGGAGCTGGATGTGCCCACACAGCCGGAATTCTGGCACCTGCCCCTCCTCAAGCAGCAACCTGGAGGAGCAAAGCTGCCCTGGCAGAGTTGAGATCCAGCACCTGGAAGTTTCCACTTCTTTTCAGGCTTGTCTCATGACAAAAACAATCCAAAAGTGTTTAAACACACTGTGGAAGAAAACCTGTTTTTCTGTGTCTCCTCCTCTGCCTTCAGCCATTGTTTTCCATGGGATCTGCGGGAAAGATCCCAGAATCCACCCTGACACATAAACAAGGACAATATATGTATTTAAAACTTGAAATTATTTAAAGCAGGTCTTTGACAGTCTGCATTCCCCTTGGTGCAGGAGAGCAGCCACACAACTGCTATGGATGTGCTCCCAGGTGCTGGGTGTGGAGCTGGATGTGAGCTCTTGCTCCTGCTCAGATCTTCATTAAAACTTGTTCAAATTTAATCACCTGGTTAAAGACACTTTTTCCTCTTTTAGTTCACTGGCAGTTCAAGGCCTGGAAAAAAAAGCAAAACGACACCTTGGAGAAGCAGTGAATCACGTTAAGGGAGTATAAATGAAACAATAAAAATCAGAAAGGGTTTCAAAGCAGGGGATTAAACAAGCATTTCCATGACCATCAGAGCAGAGAGGCTTTGGAACAATCCCCCAGATGGGAAAAAAGGTGGACAACCTACTCGATTCCAGGTGGAAAACACCCTGTGGAGCTTTATTTGGACCTTGTTGAGTAGATTGTAAGAGATTTGGACCAACACGAATACGACCATGGGGCAAGAGCTGCAGACCTCGGGGGGTCTGTCATCCAGCATGTTCTTGTTTCAGTGGGATATTCAGTGGAAGCAGCAGGTGAAGCCCCAGGAAACCCCCAAAATCACATTTTGTGTTCACATTCCAGCCAGAGAGTCTCAATCAGGACAGGATTGCACCAGTGTGGGAGAGGAGGGAGCAAGGCTGCACTGACAGGAGGCACCCCAAAGCCAAGGTTTAACCAGGATGCAGCTGGGAACCTCCTAATGCGCTGAACCTTGAGGGCAAAATGGGAAGAAATGGGCAAAAAATAGCTATAAAGGGAGAGGTGGCCCCAAGGCGGAGGGTTCCCTGAAAAAGGATGAGTGGGAATCATTGACCTTCCTGGAAAATGTCACCCTCTCTGAGGGATGTGCTGGGGACATCGTGGAGCGAGGGTCTCTGGAGATGCTCTGAGAGGAATACCTGTATCCATTTGGGATTAAGCCTTTGGTTTGAAGCACTGTGCTGGTTCCTCCCTGGAGCCTGTGTGGGCTGGGCACATCCTTGTGCTGCGCTGACGCTGAGGCTGTTTCGGTGACGTGGTGAAAAGGGGTTTTATTGCAGCTGGAGAATTGGTGGGAGCTCCCACAGCAACCAAAATGGCCCAGATCTGTCCCAAAAAGGGCTCCAAGGGCTGGATTCCCTCTGCTCTGGGACAGGCTGGGAGCGCTAGGGATGTTCACCTGGAGAAGGGTCTGGGGAGACCTGAGAGCCCCTTGCAGGACCTAAAGGGGCTCCAGGAGAGCTGGAGAAGGACTTGGGACAAGGGATGGAGGGACAGGACAAGGGAAATGGATTCACATAGACAAAGCACAGCGTTAGATGGGATATTGGGAAGGAATTCTTGGCTGTGAGGGTGGGGAGGGGCTGGAATGGTTTTCCCAGAAAAACTGTGGCTGCCCCATCCCTGGAAGTGTCCAAGGCCACGTTGCAGCAACCCGGTCTGGTGAAAGGTGTCCCTGCCGGCGGCACGGGGGCTGGAACGGGCCGATCCCTCAAGTCCCTCCCAGCCCGCCCCATTCCCGCTCCGTGAGGGCGGGAGGCTCCCAGGGCGCGTGCGCGGGGCGGGCGGAGCGGCGGCTCCGGGAGCGCGGGGGGGGGAGCGGCGGCACCGACACCGGCACCGACACCGACACAGACACCGGCACCTCACCGGGCTGCGCAGCCTTCGCCCGGGAGCGGCAGCACGAGGAGGAGGACGAGGAGGAGGAGGGCGGAAAGCAGCGGGAGCGGTCGCGGGTCCCGCCGCGGGGAGCGGAGCGAGCGCGGGGCGGCGGCGGCTCCTCCATCATGTCGTCGGGCGGGGACTTCGGGAACCCGCTGCGGAAATTCAAGCTGGTGTTCCTGGGCGAGCAGAGCGGTGAGTCACCGCCTTCCTCGGGCCGGGAAAGGGGGGGATCCCTTCGGACACCCGCCCGACCTCGGGGGAGCAGGAGGGAACCCCACTTGTCACCCTCCGTGACACCCACCCACCCTCGTGGGGACATAAAGGGACCTCACTCCTTACCCTCCCTGACACCCACCCACCCTTGTGGGGACATAAAGGGACCCCACTCCTTACCCTCCGTGACACCCACCCACCCTTGTGGGGGTCCCTTTCACTCCCATCCACCCACATACTCTCATAGGGGTCTGAGAGGATCCCCCTCCTCACTTTGCCTTCCACCCCTATGGGGGTCTGAGAGGATCACCCTCCTCACCTTCCCTGGCACCCACCCACCCTCTTGGGGGTCCCTTTCACTGCCATCCGCCCACATTGCCTCCTGGGGGTCTGAGAGTATCACGTTCCTCATCCTCCCTGGCACCCACCCACCCTCCGTCCTGGGGGTCGCTGACACCCACCTACCCTCCTGGGAGCCTGAGGTGTTCAGCTCTGGTTTAACACTCCCACCCCTCCCAAAGCCTGTCTGATTCAGGAACAGTTGCTGATTCATTTGATCCCGGCCCCTCTGGTTTTTGGGGGGTAGGAGCCTCAATCCTCGCTGTTTTCCGTGTAAATACAGCGTTTTTCCATAATGGAGTTCTGTCTTGGCAGAGCAACGCTCTGAATATTTAATTCAGCCAGTGAGGTTTTCTTGCCTGTCTCTGGAATGAAAAAAAAACCACCCAACCTAAACGCTGTCTCCTCCTTCCTCAGCGGAAGGCCTCTCTCTCCATTACTGCATTCCACATTTTCCCTTGGAAGAGTTTTCTGAAAAGAGCAAAAAAGCTCCTTTATCAGCTGCTTTGTGTAATCCTGGTGAGATACTGAGCGATCTTTGACATAATGAGGAGGTGCAGAATATTTCTGTCTCAGGGCGGGGTATTTGCTCCCTCAGCCACCTTTGGTCTCTGTGTGAGAGATGATGAAATACTTGGATTTTTTTTATTTTTTTGGGGGGGAAAGGACTTATATCTTGGTATTTCCTCACTCACGTGGATGAGTTTGATGATAAGGCTGTCATTGAAATTATTCACCTATACATCAGTGGGTTTCTTCAGTCTGTGCCTTTCATCCTTTTTTATTTTGTGGTTTTGGGGTTGAAACAGCTCTTTTTCGTGTCAGGAATTTGGAGAGCACAGGTGCAACTTGGGTATTTATTATTTTTCGGGGGGTTAGTCACCTGATGTACTTGCTGAGGTGATGTTTGGCCAGCCATTTTATGAGGATTTTGGAAGAGGGTCATGTGTAGAAAATGCTGGTTTGTTGTGGGGTTTTTTTGTTTGTTTGTTTGTTTTCCCCAGGTATTTGACAACAGCAATTTTAAATATTAGCAATGCATTTGCAAAATGTTTGGCTTGTATTCCTGTGTTTCTGAGCTTCAATATCCCGAAGCTTTTCCTGCATGGAAGGTTGTGGCACCTGGTGCAGCTCTTAAATCTCAGCAGGTCTTTTACACGTGCATTTCTTGTCTCTTGCAGCAGACATAACGTCAGATATCTCCTTCCTGTAGGAATTTTTTCCCTCTCAGCTCATCATCTTTGTTTGTACTGGGAGGTTTTAAATAATTCCTGATCATGGCATCAAATGTAAGGAGGAGAGAAAGGATTCTGTGGGTACAGCAGAGCAAGATGCTCCTGAGTGGATATTCATCCCTGCAACTGCTGCCTTGGCCGGGGCTTAGGGATGGGTGGGAGCTGATTTGAATCCAGGGCCTGGCCAGCAGCTGCAGTCCTGCCTTTGTCTGGGATGCTGGGGATGGATGATTCCATGCCTGCTCCGTGCTCAGTGTGTCCCTGCATCCCGTGGGTGCTGCAGCGTGGGCACGTTCCAGCACGGAGCTCATGGATGAGTCTGTGCTGGAGACACGGCCTTTCCTGAATTGAATCTCCTCAGACGTCTCTGCCATGATGTCATTCCCTGACATTTTTTATTTTTTTTCCTGCCCAGAGGGAGCATAGCTCCCATTCCAAATAATGTTTGGAAATCATTGAAGAAGAATTTCTGCTGCTGCAAGAAAGGGAGTTGGAGTGGGCTGTGCTCACACCTTTGTTTGGAAGGGCGAGGGAATTGCAGGAATAAAAGTTTTTACAAAAGCAGGTTTTGCATCTGAGGGGATCTTTGTACAACTGTTGCTCTGGGTTGGTGCATTGGCTCCCTGTTTGGCTGGAAGGTTTGTGTGCCCTTTTGGAAGGCCAGAATTAGAGGTATCCCACTGCTGCTGCCGGGGAGGCTGAGTGCTCCTGCTCCGTGTACATCCAAGGGCTCCAGGATGACAAATGGAATGTCACAAAGGGCTGCCGTGGCTGTGAGCTGCCTCAGCAGCCAGAGCTGTACACGGCCTCTCCAACAAATGCTGTGGCTAAGGAAATCTGCACTGCAATTCCTTCCAGGGTCTGCAGTGGTACAGCCTCGTTCCATGGCAGATTTGGGAGTGTTTTATTCCTGTCTGGAGTGGGGTTGCACAGCGGATGCAGTGCCTGGTTTTCTCCGCTCCCCTCAGCCATGTTGTGGGAGTCCAGTGCTGTGTTCCCGTGGACTGCAGTGATCCTGCCTCCTCCTGCTGTTCACCACTAGCTGCAGGTTCTTTTTCCTGTGCTAAGATGCTGATTTTCCCTGCCCCTTGCTCCCCAAAATCTCCAGGGTTTGTCCCCCAGCCCCTCCCCAGCCCAGCCCTGCCGCATGTGCTGGGGATGCATCATGAGCCTGCAACATCATCCGTGTCCAGCCAGGAGAACCTCCTCCTCCTCCTCTCTTTCCATCCCTTATTTTTTTTAACTTACACCAGCAACTTCCCCAGCACTCCCCTTAATTGAATTACTCTCCTCAATGATTGAAGATTATACAGAGTGTAGCAGTTTTAAATATGCTAATCTTTGCTGAAAAGACAGGGAGAGCTCTGTGCTGCGGGATTAGATGGAGCTATTGTGTGTGGGGAAGTGTGTTTCTTACTGCCTTTGATCTGCTTTTATCAGGTGGGTTTTGTCAGCCCTAATACCTCAGGTTTGAGGAATTCTGGTTTCTGGGTCACACCAGTTAATGTACACATCACCTATATTGGGGTGGCTTGCAGAAAATACGATACAGATTCAAATATTAATAATTCTTGCATAGGAACACCTCTGCTTCTTCATAAATGGATTTTTCTTTTTGATTGAATGGGCAGAACTGAATGCAACAGAAATATTTGCCCATCATGTGAGTTTATGCTGCAGCTTCCATTGGTGAGCAGGTCTGAAGGGCATCAGTGTGTCCAAAAGGAGTCCCTCTTGTCTCTCTCTCTGTGGTGGCATTTCTGCATTGAGGAAGATCCTGGAGAAAATTACAACCATTTTTTAATCAGGAACTGAGAGTTTTAATATTGCGAAGATAGGGGCAGCGTAATAACTCATGGACTATAACTGTTTGGAGAGCACTAATGAGCTGTGCTGTTGCATAACTGCTGGTCCAGGCCCTGCTGAGCAGTGTGTGTTTTACTGGATGGCTGGAGAACTGCGGGTGCTTCGAGTGTAACCTGAAGCTGGTGTCACCCTGCTCACGGTCCTGCAGGGACTGCCATCCCTGTGCAACTTAAAACTCCCTTGGTTTTAGGGAATTCTCGGCTTACCAGCTCCAGAGAGCTGTTGGTTTGTCCCACTGGTGGTTTAAAAGCTCATCCCCTTCCCTCCTGTTTAATTTCTTGGTGCTGGTTTTCCATTGGATATTTGGGGTTGTATTTGGACTGTGTGAATTTTCCAGGGGTTATTGAACTTGGGTTTCTTGGGTACATGTGGAATATCAGCAGTGCATCCCAACAAAGGGGAAGTCAGGCAGAAACACCAGGGTGGAGGAACAGCATGGATGAACCAGGAGCTCCTGGACAACCTCAAAGCCAAAAGGGAAGTCCACAGAGGGTGGGAGCAGGGACAAGTGGCCTGGGAGGAACGCACAGGAATTGCTGGGAGAGGAGAAGGCTCCAGGGAGAGCTGAGAGCCCCTTCCAGGGCCTGAAGGGGCTCCAGGAGAGCTGGAGAGGGACTTGGAACAAGAGATGGAGGGACAGGGGAAAAGGAACGGCTTCCCACTGCCAGAGGGCAGGGACAGGTGGGATATTGGGAAGGAATTCCTGGCTGTGAGGGTGGGGAGGCCCTGGCCCAGGTTACCCAGAAAAGCTGTGGCTGCCCCTGGATCACTGGAAGTGTCCAAGGCCAGGTTGGAGCAACCTGGGATAGTGGGAGGTGTCCCTGCCATCTCAAACCAGTCTGTGGTTCTTTCCCAGTGTAACCTGCTTGGGGTCTGATCCCTCTTTGCTGTCCTAAGGACCTTGAATTCCACCATTTCTCTTTTCCACTATTCCTCTTTCCCCCCATCCCTTCCTGCAGCGATGCCTGCCAGAGAAAAAGGCCTCAGTGTTTTGTGGTGCCTGTTCTCGTGGTGCCTTTTGATCCCTGGCTATTTGTGGAAGCCTCTGAAGGAGCTGCATCTGCTCTGGAAAGGAGGAGTAGCTGTGCCTTTCTCTGCTCTGGTATCTTTTCTGTCTGCAGCTGAGAAATAATTTGGGATTTTAACGAAATGATCATCTTGTCCCTTGATGTGACACAGTCTGTTGAGTGGTGTGGTGGTACCTGGCATTTGATCTATGCTCTGCAAAGCCCAGGTCTGAAGGTTTTGGTGGAAATGTAAATGGGAGTAATGGAGAAACAAAGGTAAGGAACCTCCTCTGAGGCCACCTCAGCAGACAATGGAGCACTTGGGAATTATCAGAGCCAATTTTTTCAGCTTCACTGATGGTTAAAAACCTGTCTCCTGTAACGAATTTGTGAGGAAATAG